CTTCCTTCCTTCCTTCCTCCCTCCCTCCCTCTCTCTCTCTCTCTCTCTCTCTCTCTTTCTTTCTTTCTTTCTTTCTTTTTGTGGTCTTTTTGAGACAGGGTCTCCTTGTAGCCCCAGCTGGCCTAGAACTCTCTACACAGACCAGGCTGGCCTTGAACTCAGAGAGATCCATCTGCCTCTGCATCCCTAGTGCTGGGATTAAAGGCATGTACCATCATGCCCGGTCTCCTCACTTTTGAGAGCACAGTCTGCAACACAGAATGCTTAATAATTTAGTTTGAAGTGACTTTCATTTGTCTCCCTCAATATTCCTGTCTTTTTGATTGTGAGCCTGAGCCTTTAACGGCTGTGGCAGGTCTCCAGCTCTCCCTTAACATTCCTTAAGACCCTCAACATCGGAGTATGGTTTCCTTTAGCTACCTCATACCTTCCTATAGCTGGAACAAGCCTGGTAGGGTAATTGTTCACTTCTGGCTGAGGGCCTGCTGACTGAAAGCGATGGAGGTCATACAGGGAGAGTGGAAAGGTGGCTCTAGGAGTACCTTTGACAGGATGGAGGTAACTGGTACTGAACAAGACCTGCCTACTGGCTGCTCTCTGCACAGAGCTTCAAAAAACAGAGCTGGAGAAGCACCAACAAGCCATGGCCTAGCTGGTCTACCCAGTCAGAATGTGAGATCTAAAAGGCATGAACTTCAGCTTGGACTTCTCTGTATCCTCTTCAGATGATCCTCAGACCACGCTGTTCTACAGACATTTGTTGAATCAAAGCATTGATTCAGTTTGGCTCAATTTTGAGGGAGATGGAGGGACTGTTGAGGTGCTGATTTGTTTTTGTTTTAAAAGTAGCTAAGTATGGTCCTGACTTAAATTTATTTACTTGGTTTTCCACTTTTATTTTATTTTTCTTCATGACAGACTGAGCTCCCAAAGGAGAGAAATGATCTGCCCTTTTCATAGCTAAGTTCCTACCTAGTACAGTGCCTGGGACAGAGTATAAATACTTCCTGAATGAATGAAACACACACATGCACAAGTCTCTGATTTTTCTAAAGAGAGGTGGGGGTATAGTGGAGGTCCTGAAGGGATAGAACCTTTTGACCCAAGCCTTTCCCAGAACTGTAGGTGAGGCTCCGCTGCTCTTACTGTTGTGGGGCCCTGACAGTCAGCTACACTCTAGGGAAGGAATAGCATCACTGGGAGGTATCAGAGATGAAGCTTAACACAGACGCTCTCCTTAGCCTGTCACCTCCTGCCTGCTTTTTGGGTCCTGTACAAATGGGGCAGCTCTCCAACTTTAAGGTTCTTTCTCCTCAGTTTATGGAAGTGTAAAAGTTTTCTATATTTAGGAAAAGACTAACACTACCTCTTCCTAACCCACCTTAGATTTCCTTCTAGTTACCACTTAGTGATCAGTGTGGAGGATTAGCGTTTATATAGGACAAGTGCTTAGAATGGTCTTGATATAGCACCTCTGCTACTCATTGCCCCAGCTTATAGGGGATAGGAAGGTGCCCACTGCAGCTGCCCTCACCACTAGTTCCCTTAGCTGATAAGGTATGTTTCTGTCCTGCCACTGCAAGGTCCTTCCTAATGCTATCATGTGCCAGCCACCTCTACTGGACTCATCCTTCCTTCAGACTGCTGAGCAGGACCTGAAACTCTGCAGCCTCTGCTTGTACACTGCCTCCCCAGCGGCTCTGCTCATCTCATCTGGCTGTCCTCATTGTTCCAGAGATGCCCGCCTTGATCCTGTGCCTGAACTGCAGGCCTGTATTTCCTTTTGGATGTCCCACAGGCATGGGACCAAAATTGAAATCTTCATCTTTCTTCAAGCAATTTTCTATGTGCTATTACCCAAGTAGCAAATTACACTGCTAACCTAGTAACTTGGGACAAACTGTAGCTATACTTCATATGTCCCCCTCACCCCCAGCCTTCTAATTGATCCGGAGATCTGTCTCTTTCTTTTCTTCCTTATAGCACTCTACACTTTGGGCTAGATGATCCATATTTCTTTCTAGTACAAGTTTCCTGAGTGCTCTCCTTGCTTCTAGTCTCCTGATATAATCTTTCTTTTTTGTCTTCCATTTGGGCTCTTTTTTTTTTTTTGAGATAGTATTTTGCCCAGGCTAGCCCTGATCTCCTGACTGCTCTACCCCTCTGACTGCTGGAATTCCAGGCATACCACACTAGCATGCCTATTCTTTAAGGTCTGATACTTCTGAGCACAAGTATGGCAGCTCCCTCTTTTTGCTGCCATGTCTTGCCCAAGCACTTGAAACACCTACTTATCTGGCTGACTCTTACCAGATAATGAGAACCTGAGGTAAAGCCTGATTAAAATCTGTCTTTAGAACTCAGCACCAGGCCTGATCTCAAGCAGCCTGAGGGCCTGGCACATGGGGCAGCTCTTTCACTCATCATAATCTAAGCACACTTATATGGACTATGACGACAGCGAGGCCACGGGCAAGATATGTAAGGCTGGGGAGAACTTTACCCAGAGGTGGTCTGCTAGGAGGGTCTAGCCCCAGCCATGTGAGGCTTTTCCTGATCTTCCTATCCTTAGGTTTTTCAAGAATCACACGTGTGTGGCAGCGGGGGTGGGGGGATGGGGAGATGATGGCTGGGAAGACGGCACAGTTGGTAAAGTGCTTGCCATGCAGGACCTGCGTTTGGATCCCCAGCACCCATGTAAAAAGCCGAGCACAGTGGCACATGCTTGTAATGCTAGTACTGAGTTGGCAGAGACAGGAGGATCTCAGGAGCTCACTGGCCAGCTAATCTTGTTGAATCGATGAGCTCCAGGTTCAGCAAGAGACCGTGTTTCAAAAATTAAGGTGAAGAACAATAGAGGAAGACATATGTCAACCTCGAGCCTCTACATGTACCAGCATACTTGTGCGGTGCACATGCATACATGTGCATACACATGGGCACCTACACATGACCATGCACACACGAATACACCACATTCACACACACACATTAATGACACATATATATGAATGTTCCTACCCTGTGATTTTTTTCTCAATACTCTCATGAGAATGTGACAGTTCAGTTTACTCCATATGTACTGATTTCTACTCTGTACTGCCAGGTGAGGGGAACATAGAAAAAGACAAGGCCTTTGTCCTGAGGAGCTGTGAGTCTGATGGGTAGGGGATTATGTCCTCCATCTGGGCTAAGCAATAGGCTTAGAAGGACTACCTACACCTGTATTCATACCAGTAATAAGACGTTGGGCCTGGAGGAGAAGTTAGGGCTCCCTGACTTTAGTAGAGAAAGCTCTCATGTCAGTAAAGCAGCTGCTTTGCCTGTCAGCTGTGCAATGACCCCTGCTTGCTGCTGGGACACCAGGGGATATCATAGATCTGCTGGTTAGGTGCAGATGTGCAGGTTGGAGATGGTGTTAAGGGGTTTACTTTCCCTGTAACATGCCAGCCTGTGTTTCAAAGGAGAGGAGTGGGAGTATCGGGTGCCGCTTCTTTCATAAATAGTGCCATTTTGGGAGCCTAGACAAGCACCCATGCCGTGCAAAGCTCACAGAGGACAGAAGAGGGCATTGGATTCCCTGGAACTGCAGTTCCAGATAATTGTTAGCTGCCATGTGAGTGCTGGGAATCAAACTTGGGTCCTCTGGAAGAGCACCTAGTGTTCTTAACTGATGAACCATCTCTCCAGCCTCTTGTTTGTTTTTTTGAGACAGGGTCTCCCTGTAGCCCCAGGTGGTCTAGAACTCACTATATAGACCAAGCTGGCCTCAGTCTCACAGAGATCCACTTACTCCTGCCTCCCTAGTGCCGAGTTTGAAGCTGTGTGCCATCATGTCTGGCTGATGGCCACTTTTTAGTTCCATTACTTTTTGTTGTTTTTGAGACAGAGTCTCATTATGTAGCCCTGGTTGGCCTGGAAGTAACTATGTAGACCAGGCTGGCCTCGAACTCAGAGAGCTCTGCCTACTACTGCCTCCCAAGTGCTGGAATTAAAGGTATGGGCCATTCCAACCAGTTTCCATCATCACTTAAAAAAAAAAGTTAATATTAGAAGTCACTGTGTTTGCTCACATACAGAATACATGATACTTACCTAAGAGACTTGTGGTGAGGACTAAAAAAAAATTTGTAATAGCTGGGTGTGGTGGCGCACACCTGTAGTCCCAACACTTGGGAGGCAGAGGCAGGTGGATCTTTGAGTTCGAGGCCAGCCTGGTCTACATAGTGAGTTCCAGGAGATCCTGTCTCAAAAAGACCAAAAAAAAAAAAAAAAAAAAAAAAAAAAAGTAATAAAGAGATAGAAATGCTGAAAAAAAGATTTGTGAAGTGTCTACATATGTAAGTGCCAATCAATGGTAATGTTCCCCCCTCACCCTCTTCTTTTTTCTTCTTTTTCTTTTGGTGGTACTGGAGATATAACCCAAGGCTAGGCAAGGACTCTACTGAAGAATGATAGCCCTAGTTCCAACCTCTCCTTTTGTTTCAACTAAAATCTTGAGCCTTGCCTTCAGGTACTAAACTGTGAGTACATGAACTAGATACATCAGGGAGGCCAGTTTACAAATGGGCTACCACTCCTAAACCCAGTTCGATGTGTATATTTCAAGGACCTGGTATTAATAGATTTATTTATTTATTTATTTATTAATTATTTTTTTGGTCTTTTTCAGACAGGGTCTCCCTATAGCCCCAGCTGGCCTGGAACTCGCTCTGTAGACCAGGCGGGGCTCAAACTCAGAGATCTGCCTGCCTCTGCCTCCTGAGTGCTGGGATTAAAGGTGTATGCCACCATGCCCAGCTAAAGTAGATATTTTTTTTTAAGACAAGGTCTCATTATGTAGCCTAGACTGACCTAGGAGAATTTGCAAACCTCCTGCCCAGCCTCCCAAATGCTGGGATTATAGGCATGGGCTACCAGATCTGACTTCAGTGATATACCTACAGCACCAGTCCTGCAGGGGAGCCTTCTGAAGGAAGTGCCTTCCCATGTCCTACAGGCCTCTGTACATATTTGCACTCAGCCAGCCTAACACCAGCATCTGAAGTGCCTGGAGATGGATGGAGATGGCCACCTAAGGGACCACCTGTGGGAAACACCAAAGGATACAGAAGGAGGTTCTGCCTTGTGGACACCTCTGATACAGTTGTCACCTGCTTCTGCCTGATGGCAGGGGAGTTTCTGGGTGGCTCTTTGAGGTTTTCCTTTTTGCTTTGCGACGGAAGGTGTAAAGAGAGCATCTCAAAGCAATCAGCAGAGTCACTGAGCTCACTAGAGGAAGCTTCACTCTCAGCCTGGACCTCTGGCATGACCTTCTTGTCCTGATCTGCCTGTAGTGAGCTCCATTCAACAAAAGCATTGCTCTGTTGAGCTCCTGAGTGTGTTAGGTGTGGGATAAGCTGTGGCTTATCAACAAAAACATTGTTTTGTTGAGCTCCTGAGTGTGTTGAGGTGGGCTCTCTAACCCCAGAATTAGAGGCTCCACCCTCACAAGCAATACTTTGGCTAGGAGAGCCCTGCCCAGGCAAGTGGGCGTTCACTTCCTTTTGTGGGCTGGAGAGAAAGCTACTTCTGACCTCGAGCTTCTCTCTGGTGAAAGGCCCTGGAGGACAGATGGGGCCTTCCCTTTGTACCTCATTGGGCTGAGGGCTGATGATTTCACTTGTGTCTGACATGAAACTGGACCAGGGGCTAGTTCTGTCTGTCACAGTGGTGATTTCATTTAGGGTCCTGGGCTCAATGATGTCTTCTTCATAGTCTTCATCACTGTAGGCTGGGCCTGCCTCAGTGTCATCACTGCTCTGCATCTTTGTGACGGGTACTGTATGCCCCAGGGACTCATGGAACACTCGTCCTCCACTTGAAGTCTTTTCAAGAACAGGGGGAGGTGGGGAATTTGTGCTCGCCTCTACTGCTCTTGCCAATGACTCCACTGGAGTGGGGCTTTGGTCTTGCACAGCCTCAGTGTCCTGAGCATCTGGGAGGGTGATGACCTCTCTGCTTCTACTCCTGGCTTGGTGAGAAGTCAAAGCTGCTTGAGACTCTCTGGTGATAGTCTGCAGATCTGAATAGCAACAGATACACTCTTACTATAGAGCAAGGGCTACAAAGCACTCAAAGTTCCCACACCAGCCTCTAACTTCACAAGTATCCTTGTAATCAGATTTTGAACAAATATTAGTTAATTCACCCAAAAGTCAGTGAAACTATATTCACAGCAATACAATTTCTAGTACTTTATTCTAATATTAGAGGACCAAAATCTAATCTATTTATAGTTGTGGATACACCCGTGGAAATGCTCATGCTCAGGAATTCTCAGGAGCTGGGAGTCCCGACCGGCAAGTTCATGCTTCCATTTACTTCAGTAATTACCTATATTAAAAACCAAAATGAGGGCCAGGCGTGGTGACGCACACCTTTAATCCCAGCACTCGGGAGGCAGAGGCAGGCAGATCTCTGTGAGTTCAAGGCCAGTCTGGTCTACTTAGCGAGTTCCAAGACAGCCAGGGCTACACAGTGACTCACACTCACTCTCTCTCTCTCTCTCTCTCTCTCTCTCTCTCTCTCTCTCTCTCTCTTCTAGCACTTGGGGGGAGGTTAAGGTAGGAACATCACTGAGTTTGAGGACAACTTGAACAGAGAGACTCTGTCTCAAAATCAGCTAACTAAATGAAAAACCCTATAGACTTCTGAGCTGTGGGAACGAGAATTTGAAATATGCTTGCAGCTGATTTTTTTCTGGAAAGACAGTGATACAAGTTCAAGAACTGCTAGGATCCATTTATCTAATCCATGTTTCTCTTTTTTGGATGGGGGAATGAAAGCTCAAGAAAGGAAAGAATATGCCCAGGAACAGTGCACATCAGTGTCAGAAACTCACAGGAACCTGGGTCCCCTGCCCATTGCCACATGCTCCTGTGCCTCACCACTATGTCCTTTCCTCTAAAAGGAAGATGGCAACAGCAACAAAAGATGTGAATGCTATTGTTTCTACATGTCACAGAGGCTTATCTGAGGGCAGACTAAGATGGTTTTGAAATTGGCATCTAGTGATCATAACTGATCAACCAAAAAAGCCTTGAGTCCTACCTGAGATTAAGGAGCTGACTTGCAATACCAGGTTACTGGATTTTTCCAGGATGCACTGGCCCTCAGGGTCGAGGTTGCTGGATCCTGAGCCCTTAAGGTCCCTATGGCTCTCCTGGTGCTTCGAAATGATAGGAGGACTATGAGAGCTGAAGGGCAGGAACGGCTTGCTGAGCTTCTGGCTGAAGTAGTGCTGGATCTGATCTAGCTCACTCAGATTCTTCCTGGGGAAAAAAGGGGGGGGGGCGTTGGATAACAAAAGGGTCATTCATAGCAGTTACAAGAATCTTTTTTGAGAAAGAGTCTCCCTGCAGCCCTAGCTGTCCTGGAACTGGTTATGTAGACCAGGCTTGCCTTGAACTCACAGAGATCCACCTGCCTCTGCCTCCTGAGTGCTGGGATCAAAGGCATATGGCTGGTTACAGAATCTTTATACAACACTTGAGGCAGAACTTTAATACCTCTCACTTGACCTAGTAACAAATAGAACCCGCCACCTCTTAACCCATCATTCACCTTTCATCCCTCTGACTATAATCCCGTTGCCAAGTACAACTTTGTCCCCTCTGTCTGGCTAAAGGGGTTCCTCTGCTGATTGGCCTGGAACTTGCTCTCCTTCTGTCTTAGCCTCTGGAGCGTTGAGATTACAGGAACATGCTATTACACCCGATACACACAGAATCGCTCTTGACCATCATGCCAGTTCTCCCCTTACTCCAGGCTAACATTGCTCTGTTATCTCATAATCGTTCTTGATTAATCAGTTTTCCTTGATCCTCAGGTTGGCTCTGGGATTCTCTGTGCTCCATAGTTCTTACTGTATTTCTCAAGCACTTTACTGTTTATTTCATATCTATTCCCCCTCATGCACTGTGAACTCTCTGATTTCTTTACACTACCATACCCAGCATCATGCCTGGCACGAAGCAAATGACTGCTGAATGAGTAAGTGACTTATGAAAATCTCCCTAAACAGCTGTAATGGATCCACATTCATTCTTACCACTCTCCGATGAGGAATCACACCACCCTCCACTTGTGTAGGATTTTATATTTTCAAATTCACTATCTTGGCAATTCTCAGCCAACCACTTGAAATAAGTAATTATCACTTTGCAAGCATTTGGGTTCACAGAATTTAAGTGATTTGCCTTAAATACCGGATAAGAAACGGTATATGAGAATTTGGATTTTGGGACTTTTTTCTAGGATGTTAGATGAGCTCTGTCCCAGGTGAGCCTCGCCCTTCTCCCACCTCTGCTGAAGATGAAGCCTGAGCTCCAGCTACTCCCTATGCTATCTCTTCTTTCCAACTCTTTGAGGTTGCAGCTCCCTTTTTTTTTTTTCTTTTCAAAGTCTATGACTCTAAATCACTGGGTCACCCTTTAAATTCCTTTTCTCTCAGCTTGGGTACCTGACCTTCAGTCTTAAATTGTCACTCACTTTTCCAGTATTTGTTAGTTCATTTTCCCTAATTAGCCACAAGCATCTGGGTCTAGAAGATGATATAGCAGGTATTTCAATTCCCTCTCAACATGCCTGGTCAGATTTGCAGCCCAGACACTGAATGTGTGGGAGGTAAGCGGAAGTCTTTCTATCCTGTTGTTAGGAATGGTCTACATGTCAGAGTCAAAGCCAAATGAAAGGAGAGGACAAAGCTGACACTACAGGATATAGTCTATCAAATAACAGTGGTGTCTACCACATCATCCAGGTGTCTATATCCTAAACACCTGCAGCAGGAACATGCAAGCAAAAGTGAATTTGGCACAGCCTGAGAAAATAAGCAAACTCTATGGTTTTGAGAGATATATGGATTCTATATGGATATGGAATCATAGCATATCAATTTGTTGATATCACACTGTACTTTTTCATTAGGTTTATGAATACTTGTTCTACATGGGCTTTAGCCCATCCAAAGCCCTTCATGATCTAACACCTACAGAGCTTGCTCTGTTCCTTCCATTTAAAATATTTATTTATTTATTTATTTATTTATTTATTTATTTATTTATTTATTTATTTATTTATGTGTGTGTGTTGTGTTGTGTTGTGTTGGAGGACAACACTTGGGAGTTGGTTCTTTCCTGCCACCTTGTGAGATACTGGTGTCAAACTCAGGTCATCAGGTCTGCATGGAAGTGCCTCTACCCACTGAGCCATCTTGTTGGCTTGCCCCTTGCATTTTAAGCTTAGCTTGTTCTGAACGGTTCAGTCAGTATTTCTCCACACTTGCCTTGTTCCATGCCTCTGGGGTTTCACAATATTCCTTCTGCACAGACTATCCTTCATATTTATTGACCTTGTCTTTCAAAGCCCAGTTAAAATGTGACTTCTTTAAATCTTTCCATGTGTAACATTCTGAATTACTCATTCCTCTGTCTACTTCTGGACAGGATATCTGCAGTTCTTCCTTCCCCGAATTGTAGTTATCTGGCAACATAGCCACTCCTGCACTGGGAATGGCAGAACCAGGGAAAGAGGTCAAACCTATTGAATTCTGAAATCAAATCCTTCTCACCATACCATACTTCTTACTAGATAACCTTGGAGCTGATCTTGCTGATCTATTATATTTCAATCTTACAGTGATTCTTTGCTAAATAAACCAACAGAAGGACAGGGAAATGGTAACAGGTGAGATACTGCTCTGGAATAAGGAAATGGTTGTGAAGATAAAGGCAGGGACAGAATGTGACTTTGCAAATTGTAAAGATGTAAAGCTTTAAGGTGTGAGTGTGGTTATTAGTAAGTTCTAACGAAGAAGGTAAAGTTCCTGTGTTTATAGGTAGGTTAGTAATAGAGCCCTCTAAAGGAGTAAAAAGTCTTAAATTGACAGATTCACCTGTGAAGATCCAAAGTGCATGAGATCCCCCCACAGAACATTCCAGAGCCAGGGTATCAGATGGAAATGCTGTATTCGATGTTGCCATTGTTCATTCACCCTGTGCTCCACAGGGGCAAGTCCTCACCTGAGAGAAGTCAGAATGGAGGTGTGGGAGGACAATGGCACTGTGGTCGGTTTCTCATCATATGTAGAGACCGCCTCTCCCTGCTGCAGGAATTCATGAAACCGGCGGATATTCTGCACATGCTCCTTGTGGCGGAATGCCTGGCTTCTTATAGTACTGCTTCTGTTAAGAGAAAATTAGTAGCCAAGTAAATCCCCAACCAAGGAGGAAACTTCTAGTGTACAACCAAGCCACTTTCTGAGATAGCACTCTAAAGCTACCCCTACCACCGCAACCAGTTCTGGCTTCCTCAACTCTTGCTCGGATTACACACGTTTCCTAAATAAGCCCTCAGTCTTACATAAACCACTTTCTTCTATTCTCCACATTAAAGCCTGAGTAATTTTTTTAAAACATAGGTCTGAAATAACAGTAGCAACAGCAATACATAAGGGTCTTTATTATAATGTCAGGCCTTGCTGCAAACATTCAGCAAATATTAATCTATTTCACCACCACTATTTCTTCCTAACTCTGGTTATTTTTTATTTTTTGTCTTTTTGAGACAGGGTCTTCCTGTAGCCCCAGTTGTCCTGGAACTCACAATGTAGACCAGGCTGGCCTTGAACTCACAAAGATCCGCCTGCCTCTGCCTCCCGAGTGCTGGGATTAAAGGTGTGTGCCACCACGCCCGGCTAAATTTATTTTTATTTTTTTTAGACAGCATTTCATGTAGCCCAGGTTGGTTTCAAAATCACTATGTCTGGAATTATAAGCATGAAGCACAACACCTGATTTATGTGGTGTTGGGGATTGAACACAGGGCTTTGTGCATACTAGGCAAGCACTCTACCAACTGAGCTACATTCCCAGCTCCTGAGCTAATGATTTTTAAAAAAATTTAAAATATTTTATTTATTATTTTTCTTTTATGTGTATGAGTGTATTGCCTGCATGTATGTGAGTGCACCCGTGTTGTGCAATGCCATGGAGGTCAGAAGAGGGCTTTGGATTCCCCTGGAACTGGAGTTAAGGACAGTTCATAGCCGCCATGTGGGTGCTGGGAATCGAACTTGGGTCCTCTGCAAGAGCAGTCAGTTCTCTCAACCACCAAGCCATCTCTCCAGCCCCAAGCCAATGATAATTTAAATAGCAACTTGGCACATAGCTCTGGGAGGCAAAAGATGATGTATTTTCACATAAGGTTAAAGGGCTCTAAGGACAAAAGATGAATGTTTCTTTCAGTGAGATGGTTCTTCTGATGGCAGTAAAAGTTCTAGCTTCAATCTTATAAAATTATTTCCATAGATCTTGAAAACTGGTGGGGGTGTGTGCACGTGTGCCTGTGTGTGAAGTCAACATAGTATTTTCTTTGTCTCCAGTTTCTTCCTCTAACAAAGGTAAGAGGCATGACAAGGCAGCTCATATACTCCCTTTCACTGACCCCATCAAAAATTACCTTCCAGGAGAGGAGAAATCAAGCTCCTTTGAAGAAGTGTGAGCAAGCTGATCTTGGGCGTGTCTTGCAATGGGACTGGGCAATGTGGCACACATATTAGAGGGAGGGAAGGAAAAGGAGTTGAACATTGGTATCTGAGGAAGCAATGAGAAAAAGGTACACTGGTTACCAACAGTCCTTTTGGAACAAAGCAGTATATCAATTTATAAAATGCACTCAGTATAAGCCGGGCATGGTGGCGCATGCTTTTAATCCCAGCACTTGGGAGGCAAAGGCAGGTGGATCTCTGCGAGTTTGAGGCCAGCCTGGTCTACACAGCCAGTGCCAGGCCAGCTGGGGCTACAGGGAGACCCTGTTTCAAAAAGACCAAAAGTTAGTAGCATTAAAAATGTAGGAAATGGGCTGGGTGTGGTGGCGCATGCCTTTAATCCCAGCACTTGGGAGGCAGAGGCAGGCGGATCTTTGTGAGTTCAAGGCCAGCCTGGACTACATAGTGAGTTCCAGGACAGCTGGGGCTACAAGGAGACCCTGTCTCAAAGAGACAAAAAAAAGTAGGAAACAGTATATTTTAAAATGAAATGGTGATCTTCTTTAAAGGGTAAAAACTCATTCAATTTTATGTCTTACGGGGTTTATACTGAGTTCAGTATTGTATAACTGTATTAATTCAACTGTGAACCTAAAAATTTACAGCCACTTTTGAAAGAGATGTATCCTCACTCTGGAAATTGTTACTGAATATGTTAAAGCAGTAATGAAATGCTTCTTCTAACAAAAAAAGCACTGGATGCTTTTGCAGAGGACCTGTGTCCAGTTCCCCGCATCCTTGAGTGTATCTACTTTATCTTGTAATAAACTCTGCCTTGCTTCTACACTTAAAAAAAAATAAAGTGCTCAATATAATTTATTGAGTACTTTCTCTATGTTGAACACTGTGATTAGCAATTTCTACTTTTTCTCACTTAAACTTTATAATTACCTGATGAAGTAATAGAATTGTTTCATGCTCTTGTTCTTTTAGGTAGCTTACGGATTCTTGGCTGGACATGATCTTCCATTTACATGTAAGGATAAGTGGGCTGTGCTTGTCTCACGACTATCAGAACTGATCTGAAGAAATGACCTTCTTCCAAAGGAACCATGAACTCCTGGACCTTTCCTCAGGAATTCCCTCCCTTAGTATTTACTGATTCCCAAGCTGTGCTAGGCAAATGTGTGAGATAAATAAAAACCAGTACTACAATACAGCTCCCTTCTCTGGGACAGTCTGGAAAACCCCCTTTTCTTTTGTCCCTCCACATTCAAATCAGGAGGTTATTTTAAGACACAAATATATAATAAAATGGGCTGGAAGCTGGAAGCATCAAAGAATATAAAGGATCTTCTTACAGGTTTTGCTCAGTAGAAACCTTACTTCTTAGATGTGAACCAGGAACCTTACCAGTGATCCTGGGGTCTCCGCTCCACGTCTTGCTTGTTTTTCTTCTTTCAAGTGCATCAGACTCTCCAAAGGGGACACAGCAACTTTTATCTGTCCCTGGCACTCTCCACTGAAGTCCATAATATTGTACCAGCCACAGATAAACTGAAAGCCAGAGAGCAGTGGGGAGAGGTCCACTGAGGCGAAGCCAATCACCCTCTCCTCATCTGTGAGGGGAGAGAAGAGAAAGCCTGGGTAGCCTGGCTGGGCATGTCCATCCATTGAGATCAGACACTGCTTACAGAGAAGCTGCTTCAGATGCCTGGAGTCACTGAACAAGACTGACAATGAGGCCGAGAACTGGGAGCCAGAGCCTGTTAGGAAGTCCTTTTCTGCTTTTTTTTTTTTTTGGTCTTCTTGAGTCAGGGTCTCCCTGTAGCTCCAGCTGGCCTGAACTAGCTATGTAGACCAGGCTGGCCTTGAACTCACAGAGATCTGCCTGCCTCTGCCTCCTGCGTGCTGGGATTAAAGGTGTATGGCACCATGTTCAACCTAACCCTAACCCTAACCCTTTCTTTTTTGAGACACGGCTTTGTGTATCTCAGGCTGGCCTTTAACTTGCTTTGTAGCCAAAGATACTCATCTTTCTACCTCCACTTGTGAATGCTAGGGTTACAGGTCTGTGCTGGAAATCCAGCACATGTGCCACGATATTGTTTGTGGTGCTGGGGACAGAACCCAGGGCTTCATGTATGCTAGGCATGCAATCTAGCAAGCCCTCTCTGTATGGCAGGGAGAAGCTAGCACAGTTGCACTTTTTCATTTTGATACAGTCAACAAGAAAAACATTCCTAAAGCCCAGTACTTCTTTTCCATAGTCCATCATGCCTCAGTGATTTTTCTCAGCTCTGTGTGTGTGTGTGTGTGTGTGTGTGTGCGCGCGCGCGCGCACGCGCGCATAATCTTTGAAATTATGGGATTATGGGAAATTTGGGCTTTTCTATTTATAGCTGTCTGCATTTTCCAGTTTTCTAAGGCATAGATATGTGTTATAGTTAATTAAGAACCAACTAAATAAGTTATAGGG